CTTAAAAGTTCAATACTGAACCTGAACTGAACATGAACTTGACTTAAAAGTTCAATACTGAACCTGATTGAACTGAAACTGAACCTGAACTTGACCAAAGTTCAGTTCAGTTCAGGTTTATAGGAACACTAACTTCTTTATCAAATTCAATATCAGTGATATTTTGATAGTAAATAAATGCTTTATCTTTGTCTTTTCCAACTCCTATTCCATTTTGGTAGCAGTTTCAGAACAGCTTTGGGGGTTTCTTCTTCCTCTTGGGCTATTTTTCTGAATGAAGCTTCATTGATAGTAAGTGTTACTTCTGGCTTTTTTTACTTCTGAATTCTTTTCTTCAGGTCCAAGTATATTATCTTCAGGATTCAAAAGAGTCTCTGAAGTCTTCTTACCAGAGGTATCCACAGATGCTTCTCTTTCTTCGTTCTTTAAGATGGATTTTTCTGGGCAAATCTTTTGGGTAAGTATTACTTGTACTTCCACTTCATTTCATTTCTTCTTTCTATCTTCACAGTTCATTTCGTCTGATTTTTGTCAATTGACAGTGTTTTCTTTTTCAGTCCCTATTTGTGGTCTTTCGCCTTGCTTTCTTCGAGGTTTATTTTTGCGATTTCTTAGTGGGGCATGTTTGCTTCGTGTTTGGTATTTCCTATCTCTTCGGGTTTACACATTTTCTTAACATGGTCTGACTTTTCTTCATTTTTACTTTTTAGAGTGCCCACGGTTTTATTCTCTTATTGAGATTCGAACTCTTCAGGTCTTCTGAATTTGGATTTCCAAGTATCCACAATTTTGAGATAATTGCCAATTAAATTAACCATATCTATCTCAGGACCTAACTCAATGCTTTTTTCTTGCTTCAGGTCTTCTTTTTCTCTAGTTGATTCTTCACACCATCTTTTGCTGGTACTTTCGGTTACCATTAAACCTTCATAGTTCTTATCTTGGGCTTTAATGAGCGAGCTTTATGATTCTGTGTCATCTTTTTGCTTCTGGGGGTACATGCGAGGGGTTTAATACCTGGTAAATCGACACCTAGATATGCTGTTTCCCCAACGCTAGTTTCTTCGAGATAATCTTTGCATCAAATATGACTATGATAGTTGTGAGATATAGTATAAGATGACAAATATATAATGTCTTCTTTTTCTTCTTTAATTACTTTTTCTAACACTTTCAGTAAAAATTTCAGGGTCTGAGGCACTTGTTCTTCATGGATTTCAAAATTACTGAATGCCTCATCGATGATTACTTGTACTTCCACAGCTTGTTCTTTGGTAAGTTTTTTTAATAGGGCTGCACACTTTCTTTTCATCCTTATAGCCGGGCACTTAGATACAATATGCTCCCTTAATCCACAATAAGAACATGGAGTCTCTCTTCGAATGTTTTTTTGGTACACCCATAGCTTCGAAGTCTTCTTGGTGGTCAGGTTTCTTCCTGGTTCACAACCTTTCCGAATCTTTGGCTTCAGCTGTAGCTTCCTTGTTACGATAAGTGTTTCTTTTCATAATCATTTTCTTTAATCATCTGTCACAAAGTTTCTTCTTTTCTTTCGTATCTCATGGTACACCCCAAAATGTCAAACCCGGAAATGGCAAGTCTGTTGCTAGGTCGAAGTAGGACCAAAACTTAGGTTTCGTAGGGTCAAAAAAGGCGTGTTAGATTTTGTCGAGTGGTATATAAACGAATGTATGTAGATTATTATGTATGTACAGGTACTTTATTATTAGGTAAATCAGGTGTTATTCTTTCCGAAGGGCCAACAGGCCTTTATTTATAATTAACTCACTATCTATTTTTACATGCAGAATATGCCGTTTTCCCAGAATTACCCTTATTACTGTGATTATTGTAATTATTAAAATTCGCCTTATTCCCGTTTTTCGCCTAATTCTAATTCCCTGAAATTCCTGCGGTAAACCCAAATTCGAATGCGATACATGCTGTTGGTGAATGTTATCATTATGGAATTGGAATAGAAAGAAATTACCAAAAATCATTTGAATATTATAAGCGATCAGCTGACTTGATAATGTTTATGCACTAAATGGTGTTGGTGCTTGTTATAAAACTTGAAATGGAGTTGATAAAGATACAATAAAGCATATGAATACTATGAAAAAGCTGTTAATATGGGTAATAAAGTGTCAATGAGTAATGTTGCTCAATGTTATCGTAACGGTGTCGGTACAAAGAGAGATATTCGAAAGGCAAATTATTGGTTCACAAAATATAGAAATCTTTTCAAACCTAATAAATCGCCTATAATATCAACCCTGAACTTAAAAGAATATTAGACGATGAGAGATTTAAATTATCTTGGATTGATTATAATGAGCTCAAAATTATCAGGAAGTGGGGAAAAGGAGGATTCGCAACTGTATATTGGGCGGCTTGGCTTAATAGAATTAATCAAACATGGTGGAATATTGCAACTAAAGTGGTTCATGATTCAAATAAAAATGAGCAAGAATTTATCAAGGAATTGAAGAATTACTGAAATTGGTTAAGAGAATTCTTCATTCTTGAATTGTTATGGTGTATCAAGAAATGATAGTAATTATATTATTGTTATACAGATTGCACCAAAAGGTTCGTTACGACAAAATCTTGTACAAGTATCACAATTAGAATGGAAGGATAAACTGAATATTTTGTACTGTATAGCTTTGGATCTTGAGTCGATTCATTCACAGCAACTTGTTAATAGAGATTTACATAGCGGAAACATTTGCAACCTGGGCATATATTACAGATCTTGGACTTTCTAAAAAAGTGGCAGAAGAAAAAATTAGTGGAATTCTGCCATATATAGCACCTGAAGTTTTGGTGTATCAACCGTATACTTAAGCAACAGATATTTACAGTTTTGGAGTTATCATGACTGAAATTTCGATCGGACAAAGAGCATTTGATGGAATTCAGTTTAATGATGATCTAGTGTCAAAAATTATCGGTGGATTAATTAAATTAGCTATAAAAAGAATGGATAAAGATTTTAAGAAATTATTGAAATAATAACTCATTGGTTAAATGAAATAGATCAAGATGATAATGAAATCAAGAAACAATTTTTGGAAGCTAATAAAGTTAAACCAGAACCGACTAGGCAAATACATTCACATGATATGTATACTAGCAAATTATATGATACAAAAAGTTTTCATAAGCCGATGAGCATAGTAGAAATCTCGGGCAAATTCTCAAATTTATATTTAAATTAAATTATATAAATCTTAGTTATTTGGCATACATTTAGAAGGTACTACTATTGTATCAAATTCTTTTATTACAGAAATAAATATTTTCTTCTCGCATAATCTATAAATTTTAGTTTATAATTCTTATTATTTGTGATATTGCGGTTTGTTTCTTGAAGCAATCTTTAAAATTAATTTTTTTTTGCTTAAACGCTCTTCGAAATCTTTTAACTTTATAAAAACATAAACTTCGAATTTAAAATGATTGAAGATTACTAATATGCTACCAATTTAACAATGCCATTTTCTAAGAATGCCGTTTTAACTTTGTATTTAAATTAAATATTGAGAGAGTTTATAATATCAACTTATAATTAAAGAAAAGAAAAATAGATTAAAATATATATGTATTTTTGAAAATTGACTTCTGAATCTGCCCTTAAATGTTACTCCATTCTACAATAATTAGGTGAAACCTAGAAATTTTGTATTGAAAAGTCTATACTAGTTTTACTTTACTAAAAAATAATTTGAAATGAAATGTGAATCCGGTGAAATTATCGAAATTGAAGAAAGGTCTAAAACTGATAAATGGATATGAGAGGCAGTAAATTTACAAAAGACGCTAAAATTAAAAAAAAATCGAATAATATTTATTATTACTATGTTTCGAAAAATGTTTTCTTTGAAAAAAATTTGTCGCTCCTTTTCCTCAAATTTTTATTAATCGCTGAATTAAATTGGCCTTAAGATAATCGGTTGTGCTAATTTCATTAATAAACATGTTGTTAACATTGCGTTGATTATTGAAATTATCACTCGTTGGTTAGATGAAATAGACCAGAAAGATGATAATGAAATCAAAAATCAGATTTTGGAAGCTAATAAGATTAGGCTAGAACAGTTTAAACAAATACATTCTCAAGATGTATATTCTAGCAAGCTATATTTATAATATAATCCTATTATATCACATCCCATTTAATCTATAAGTTTTAGATTATTATTTTATTTGATAGCTTATTCTTTGGATAAGAATCTTCTGTTTTAAAAACAGTTATATCTTTTTTTATTTTACATTGAAATTTTGATGCGTACTTCTAATCATGAGTTCGAATCTGTTTTTTATATACTATTTTGTGTTGTTGAAAGTAACCTATTGTATTTCAGTTTTACTTTCTTGTCTGGTACGGAGGATTTTTGATTGATATTATTGTATTATCCGGCAAACTCATATGATCGTGAAAAAATCTCTTCTTGTTATTTTTTTCATGTGTTACGATATAACTAGTAATAAAACGGCGACGTTTCATAGGGCTGGAGCCCTACTTCTTAGGTTCTTGAATTTGAAATAAAAATTTTTATTACAGAGTACTAGAATATACGTTAATTTTAAATAGCATATTTTATAAATTTT